ATGAGCCATCTCTCCAGCACCAACTGGTTATACCGTGGTTGACAACTGTTATGACCAGTGACCATCCAACATCTTTTGACTACAATGTGCCACTTCTCCCAAGAAGGCCAAGGTTGCTTTCCCAGCTTCCTTTACAACTAGAACAGGCATGTGACTGAGGCACCAACAATCAGACACAACCACACAGGAGTCTGACACTCGAGGGAGCAGCATGAGGAATCCACCTTTGACCACCATGATAAAGGAGGAGTGTGGCGAAGGCAGAGGTTCTGGGTGCAAATGCCCAGACATGATACAGTTGAGTCTCCACTGGAACAAGTACTCTTCAACCTTCACCTTGGGCTAAATGTAATCCCACTTTCTTTTACCTTTATTTAAGACTTTTTAAAAGTCATCATTCTTGTCAAACTCCAGACTGAAATATGACCTCATTTGACTGTTCAGAACTGTTTTGGGTGTTACTCCTAGCTGGCTGTCTCTATGCCTGACAATCTGGCCTTCCTAGATATTCTGTAAGACACTCAGGATGCTTTAAAAGTAAACTTATTTTCTGCTTAATCTAGATATTCGGAGTTCGGTTATTTGCAACTAAGAATCATGCTTGACGACGTACAGGACTGGCAAAACACACATTTGCAAAGCAAAAAATAAAAAATAAAAAACACCAATTTAAACTATCCTTTAGCCTTGAAAAGACCAAAGACCTGATGTTTTCATTAGCTTCTGGTCTAGAAATCATTCACACAGTAGCTTCACAATAAGACACCAAGTATCTGTGAAATGTCCCTTTCTTTGAACACTTTATCTGTGTCAAATATAAGTTAAAGAATGGGGTCTGCTAATCTAAGTCTTGGTTTTAAGTTCAGTTACATGAGAATCACCAAAAGTGAAAGCATTCCAAAGAGGTAAAATCAAATGCAGCTGAATCTTCCTATCCCGGCTTGCTGAAATTCTTTGGAAGATTTTGTAGCTAAGGATTGTAAACTCATCCAAAAGGTTTATGCTAGGCTCCAAGGCTGGCTTTTAAACCCAAAGCGTAATCAAGCTCATTCCCTACAGTTAAAGGATTAAGGGATAATGTCATTTCCATGGTTCCCTCTCTTGTTCTTGGCTATGAAAAGCAATGAAATGTACACATTTATCCTGGAGTCACATGATAAAGAAGCGCTGCAGCTGGTGGACTTGACCACTGGACAGATGCATTTACTTTGGAATCTTGGTGCTGAGTACAGTGGTTCTCAAAGTGGGGTTCCTGGATCAGAGCATCTTCTTGGAAAGGCAAATTTTACTGAATTGGAAACTCTGGGGGTGGGGTCCAGAATTCTGTATTTATAAACTCTCCCAGTATTTCTGTTGTACGCTAAAGTTGGAGAACCACTTTCTCTGGCAGCACAACTAAACCACTCCAACCAAAGGAGAATTTACTTCTGAGAATGGAACAGCAAGGTGTACCTTCTCAATTACACATTTCAGAGTTTTAAAGTTCTCCCCTAGAACTAACCTAACTTCACGTGTAGCATACATTCATTTCTCCTTACAGAGCGGGATATAGGACTCTCGGTTACTAAGATCCCACTATCCTATACTTAAGATGGAAGCATCTTTTCCTGAAACTGTTAAGACAGCAAGTACTCTTCAATCTTCACCTTGGGCTAAATATAATCTCAGTTTCTTTTACCTTTATTTAAGACTTTTTAAAAGTTATCATCCTTGTCGAGCTCCAGACTAAAATATGACCTCATTTGACTGTTCAAATTAATTGAAACACGTTTCTTCTCACAGAACCATAGAAACGGATGTCACAAAACCTAGGTTTCTTACATTCTACGTATGTTTTACAGTACGAGATGTATTTAAAATAAAAAGTCAAATTTTAGGTGTGCCTGTTCTAGATAATCTGATTCCTCCTTCTCACCCCTGTTCTTCTTCCTAAAAGAAGTTTCAGTTCACCATAAGGTCACTTAGTATTTAACATATATTGGATTAAACATTCCGACCCTCATTTGCCCTATTAAATAAGAATTGACCAGATGGATATTTCTCTGACAGTCTCTCTCCTGAGCAGGGTTTAGTTAATTAAAAATGATTATTTTTACTACATATTTTATATATCAGCCAGATGTTACCTGTGGTCATTTTTGGAAAGAATCATTTGGTGGTGGTTGTAAAATACATATTTTCCTTGGGGAAGCAAGACTCTTGAGCACGATCAGGAAAACAAATGTAGAAACTGATTTCACCTCATGCCTTTTGCGTAGTGCCAAAACGGGCATAAGGTTTCATTTCCTTTGAAAGTAGGATCCATTCAAATTCTTTTTTTCCGTTTATCTCTGTACCCTGGCTCTATTTATGTTGTATCAAAAAAGAACCAAGTTGATGGAAGAAAAATTAATGTTGGTTTCCCTCTGTACTAGAAGTGTGAAGTTGACATTTGCAAAAAAACTGATTTGGTTTCCCTAGATTTGGTTTGAGACTAGGTGTGTGACGCAGTAACTGTCCTCAGTCAGGACAGAGACTCCACCGTGTCGCCGTGAGGAAGCACTTCCAGACGGGTATTTGCAACAGTTCCTGCTTTTGCACAGGTCTCCTTAGAAGCTGTGTTTCATGCAAACTAATCTGTTTAAATGCCCCATTAGCGCTGATACAACCCAGAATGGGGCAAAGATACTGTAATTACAAAACTGTTTTGTGATTACACTAGTCATTTTCTCTCCATTTGTAGACAAACTAGAATCCAAACAAGTGCCCCCTCTTTTTTTCTTAAGAGGAAAACAGACAAACAAAACAATCTTCAACTTTCTTTAAAATTTAAAAAAAAAAAAGCCAATTCTTGAGATTGCCCCAAATTCTGAAAGTCTAACAGGTTAAATTAACCACATTATCACTTGGGCTAGATTTAGCCGGTTGGTCTTTTGCAAAACACCATGTAGGAGATGACTAGAGGCAAAAGTGAGTCTTGTGAAAGTCTGAAGTTCATATGATGACAAACATAGTATCAGGTATGGCTGAGTGTATAAACAAGCAAGAAGCATTTAATTCCAAAGCCCTGGCTATGTCTTGTGAACTATTTCATGGTGTGATGTGGATCTAGGCTCTGGGCTCAGCTTTGACTTTCTATGGGATGTTGCATAAGTGACTTTCCCACTTTGGGCTTCTTTTCTCATGAAAAGAATTGAGTTAGAGATTCTCTAGAGTCTCTTAAAGCCCCTAAACTATATGATTGGTTGTTTATAAACATCTTAAGGCTTAAACATGCTTTATTGAACAACTGCAACAATTTCTGCAGTGGGAAGGGGGGTGGTTTGCTTTCATTAACTTAGAAGCTTTAAACACAGGACACAGTAACTCATTTTTTGATTGTATAAAGCATCTGCTCCCTATGTCCTGAAGTACACAAATCTGCTTGTAGTAAATCACAGTCACCTCAGAAATGACCTCTTCCTCTTATGTTTTCACAGCAATCAACATTGACTAGCATCTTCCTATTAAAGTCATCTGTGTTACAATTGATTTCAAGAGCCAGGTAAGGGGCAGACATTCCTGATGAACAGCCCAACAGACCCTGGAATAAATTGTCCCCCAAATATATGATTACTTACCTTTAGATCAGGCCATGCTCATCAGCCTCTAATAGGTTTGAGGGACTCACCAGTCTTAATTTCCTAGGTGAATCTGTAATTGTCCGCAGAGGTCAATTTCAGTGGATGCCTCATATAAATTAGAATTACAGATAATGATGCCTGTTCACTTGATCAACTGAAATGACCAGCTGGGTTTAATGGGAGGAAAACGGAAAATCCCTGTGAAGTTGGAATAGCTTCAAAGGTGATGGAATGTAATTATCTTTCTGCAAAGTTTCTTCTCCAAAGGTGACTGGCCATTGTGCTGGTGGGCACCCAGGCCAGGGTGTTAGGAAGGTGGAAATGGCATTTAGAGCCACTGACCACATCCAAAGGCATAAGTCAAGAGTTCGCTTTCTGCTAAGGTGCTGGGGGAAGCAGAGTTTCTTTTCTGTTCTTATTTTAATCATTTCATTCACAGGTGGAGAGGTGCTTTGAGGGACGTGCGTAATTGACTCCCAAGAGGCAAATTCTAATTTAGATTGCTGCAAAAGCGTTTTCTCTTTATAGCCATAAACCATTTTCTTGGATGTGTTATAATTATCCTTAGGGTAATATAGTCTGAGGTATGAAAGAACCTTGATATCACCTTTATTGATAATCCCTTTATTTTACAGATGGAGAAACTGAAGGTCCAGAGAAGTGAACTGACTGGACCAAGGTCATAAAGCTAGAAAGAAGAGGCTAAACTAGAATTCAACAGATGAGAAGATGAAACTAAAACTGACTCTCAGGCCAGGGTTTTCCACTTAGGAGAAGCTGTAGACTTGTCTGGGGAGGGAAAAAAGATGCTCTCCGTGAAAATTGCCATTTAAGAAAACTTAAGTTCTACAGTGTGATAGACGTGCTAGCAATCAAAAAAGGTAGAGGTGGGTAGTTGAGAGACAGAGCAAGGGGACCAGTAGCCCACAGAGCCATTACCAGTCCCTCTAGCTGACAGCGGGCTCTGCCTACGTGTCTGTGTGTGCCGGGGGGCAGTTTTACGTACCTGGCGTGACTGCACAGACTCAGACTGCACCTGCCTGGGCTTGATTCTTGACTCTGCTACCTTTGAGCTCTGTGACCTTTGGCAAGTTCCTTAAGCTCTCTGTGCCTCAGTCCCTCATCTGTATAAAAGGATGATAATGTCAGTACTTCCTGTTGTGAGGATTAAAAACCTTACTGCACTACCTTACTGTAACAGATTAAATGAGGATTAAATACACTGATATATGTAAAAAGCTCAGCACATATTAAGTGCTATGCTAGTGTCTTCTGCTTCTTCCCTATTCATCCTCCCAGAAAAAGTTTCAGAATATGGACATAAGTTATATATTTATTAATAGTGTACTGAGCTACTTTGTCTAAGATAAATACCCAAGGACTACTGGATTCAGAAAGTCATTGATAAAACCTCTTTATATGTTTAATGGATTAACTTTTCAATATGTACTATTAGAATTTAAAGGTTTTTTTTAATAAACTACAGGAATTTTTTAATTAAAAAATTCAGTGACATCCATAGTTGCATTAAACAATGATAGAAATTCCATTAGCAAAACAATGAATAAAGCGCCTGTGTTGCAAAAATTAAAGATGGGTTTTCTCGGTGGGGAAATCAGTGCCGAGTGACTCCCGCAGCCGCCGGGAGCACAGGAGCCCTTCAGGGATGCTGCGCTTTCTTTAGGCACAGCAGGGGTTCTTGGGCAATTCCAACACTGTTTCCGTAGAACTTAACGTTGTCAAAGCTACCACTAACGTTTTTCTTAGAGAAAACCTCCACAAAATCCACAATGCAGATCTTCTAGTACTTAAGGCCATTTCAGATGTGCCTGAAATGGGGACCGTGTGTGGGTTAGCTGCGTTGTTTCTCTTTCATTCTTTGAGTTAAATTCAATGGAAATGTTAAGGGGAAAAAGTCAGTTACCTAGTCCCTCATCTTTTTAATTAGGTAATTCTAGCAATCATGCAGAAAAACAATTTTTAAACGCTGTCGGTAAGAACTTTTGCGCAACTCGTTGCTGGTTTAAGACATTGGAAGGTCGTGATAAGCTGCGTATCTTCCAGTCACATGATGGTAAATCTGTGGGGAAAACAGGGTTTAGCCAATCATTAATGATTATGTTATTATACACATCAATTCATAATTACACTCTTACATAATTAATTTTAGTTAACATTTTATTATAATGCCCCACTGTTACGCGCTTCAGCAGAACCTCCATTCAACCTCCTTAAGATGGAGCTTGGCTTGGAAGAAAACAGAGGTTGGATATGATGAGATCATATGAGGTCAGTCAGATGAGTTTCCATCTCCGGTTCCCACAGCCCAAAAAGTGTTTCTATTTCTTTCTCAAAAATGCTTGTTGGTTTGTTTCCAGGCCCATGGGTGACTCCTCACCTGCCTCTCGATGTCGGCGAGCAAAGTACTGGCCCCTATCCGAAAGAGCTCAGGCTTCAGCCACTCATCCCCCAGCTCCTCCTTTATGAGAGAGAGCCATGCAAGGGAGTCCTTGGCACTGCGGATGCCTCCTGCTGGTTTAAAGCCCACCTGAAAGGGGAGGTGGGGAGGAGAACCATGCATACTGTTAAGCAATTGCTTTAAAAAATGGTCCAGCATTAACACAGGGTCTCCAATCTCTCTCTCTCTTTTCTAAAAATCTGTTTCACTTCACCCAGCAAAAGAGCTCAGATCACTCCCATGCACGCCCATTTGCACTACAACATGACTTTTCCAAGATTAATCAGAGGACTGTCACTGCTTCTGAGGAGACACTAATGAGAGTTAATAACCCTCATTAACATTTCACTTATTGGAAAGTCATAAACCTCAACCATCTAGGCTAGAGCTGTGAGCCTGGGATTAACAAGAGAGGTGTCAATAAACAGGACAACAGATATCACAAAAGCCCACTCATTCTGCATTTCTACAGGGAGGCCAGTAGATATGCACACCTTTTAGCCTTTCATCCTGAGCTGGGAAAGATACATACGTGGATTTAAAACAAGAGGAAACAAAATTACAGGTACCAGTGGGGAAGAGGGTGGGAAGGGATAAATTGGGAGTTCAACATTTGCAGATACTAGGGGAGAGAGTATACAGTGGTATAGTGGTACAGTGCATGCCTAGCATGCATGAGGTCCTGGGTTCAATCCCTGTTCCCTCCACCAAAAGTAATAAATAAATAGACACACCTAATTACTTTCCCCCTCCAAAAAAAAAAAAGGTTTGCAGATACTGTTATATATAAAATAGACAAATAACAAGTTTCTACTGTATAGCACAGGGAACTATATTCAAAATCTTGTAGTAACCTATAATGGAAAAGAATATGAAGTGGAATTTATGTATGTATATGTATGTTTGAAACATTATGCTGTACACCAGAAACTGACACAACATTGTAAATGGACTATACTTCAATTTTTAAAAATGGGGAAAAAAAAAAGAAGTAAAACAAGAGGAGAGAATCAGTGAGGTCACACTAACTAAAGTAACAGCAATCAACAAGGAGAGGTGAGTTATTTTAATCAGCTGAACCGCAGTGACTGTTTTTCTGTGTTGTAAGTAGACAGAGTTACATAAAGCAGCCAGACCAGTTCAATAGCACAGGAGAGAAAGACACATGTCACGCTCCAGTCGTCTCTGAAGGTGACCACAAAGCAGTGCAATTCAGCCAATATCTGATGTTCACAAATGATGTCCCTGAGCCCATTAGAGAAGGATAAATGTATTCTATACATAAAACCTGCTTTTCTAGATGTACTTGTCTCCAGAACTTGACTATCGGGTAGAGAAAACACTCAAAGCCCAAGTACTAAAGCTCATGCATTCGGCCACTCAAGAGTCTGGCTGCTGTGACAGGCAGCACCAGCAGCGGGTGGTTGCTAACAGAATGCCAGAGAAGGGCAAGTCAACGGTCCGCTCATCAACCAGTAAAACATTAATAAACCTCAAATAGAGCTGGGAGACCAGAAGGGGGAGTTAGACTTGTACTCCTGGGATAACAGAGTCCAACAGGAAGAAGGAAGACATCTCTTTCCTGGCAAGGACTCAGCCAACGAAAAGCTGCAGACTCGGTTTACCATACCTTCCCATCTTCCTTTTCCTCTCCAGGAAAATATTCTACTTCCTCTGCCCTGCGGGGACTTGCACGTGGTTTGTCATGGTCTCAAGACCTCCAGCTGCAAGTCTCTGCTGATCCCGAGGAAACCCATCTTTGCCAGAGAAATATCTGGCCGTCTACTTACTTTAGGTCAACAAACCCGAGCTAGAAACCCCTGGTTAATCTGGACTTGGCCAGCTTCCTCATCGCACCACACCCAACGGTGAACAGGAGTCCCACCAATCCCACCCCTGGACTCCTCTGTCTCCCACACGCACGCTTCCCTCTCTGCGCTTGCTTCCACTGTTTTGGTTTGGACCCCCGTCAGTCCTACGTGGAACACTGGGAGAAGCCTCGTAACTGGTTTCCCAGCCTCGGTTACAGATCACACAGCGAAGCAGCAGCCAGGCAGAGATCTAACCATGTCTGCCTATTAGCCTGCAGCCCAAGTGACCATGTAAGAGTGAGAGGAGGTAGGGAGAGCCAGGGAGATAAGTGGAGTGAGGTTATTGATTGAGATGAGGCAAAAAAAAATCAATTAGCTGATATTAGCATACATGTTAATCATAGGAGCATAGTCAATTAGGCAGTGCTGCACATAGATTTTTCTATACAATTCAGTTGGGTCAGCAAGTCCGTTAGGCAATGTTTCAAAAGAGTGGTTCTAGCATAAGTTTATCCTCTTATTTTGTTATGGGAGAGAATATAGAAAACATAAATCTGCAATGAAATCAGTTATAAAATATCAAACCTCTGCTTCTAGGGAGTGACACTAATCATCGTCTGGAAGGCGGCCCATCACATTTCAAAACACCCCTTAAATCAACGATGTAGAAGCTTTACAGTCTACAGGCTGCCCGGGCAGTTTGTCAACAACCTGAAAAAATGTCCCTGATTTGTAGATAGACACACAGGTCCTCTCTGTGTAAAATCAAATGCGATTAAGATGAATATGAGTTGACCTGTACCTGTCTGTTTCTCAGTAAAACCAGAATGAACTTTGTTTACTAGCTGAGGAAAGGGACAATATAATTAAAGAGAGAATAAAGAAAGACAGCAGAATGTTCTTCCTTCTCTACTCTGGTCTAGAACATTGAACATTTAAAACTTTTATTGAAAGTCTTTGTTCTTCTGGGAAGGGACTTGTTCACTTTTGCATCCCTAGCATTTAACATAGGTTAACATAGCACAGAGGTAACAACTCAATGAATGCTTATTGAAAACAAAACAGGACTGACTCCCCCATGGAAAGTTTTAGTCCTGACTACTGAGCTTATGAAATGTACAGATGCCTGAGGGTTATCCCTGACCCAGGAGTGAGGGGTGAGGACCCAGGAGTGAGGGGTGAGGACCCAGGAGTGAGGGGTGAGGACCCAGGAGTGAGGCGTGAGGACCCAGGATGAGGGGTGAGGACCCAGGCATCTATAAATATAAGAGGCTTCACATCTCTCTGGATGTTCTTTGACTGAGAATAAGACCCATCGGTCTGGTGAGTGGTGATGATCTTATTTGAGGGGCCCAAAGCTAGAGTTCTCATTTTTACAGCTTTTCTTACTTTCCTTTTTTTTTTTTCTTTTTAAATTCAGGTCACTGAAGAAAGGCTATCAGGTAGAGGTTACTCAAGTTGGGTCAGCTTTCCTATGTAGGTCACAGTAGATCTTTATCTCATCTGTACTCTTTTAAGATATGAAGGTATTCTGAAGGAGAAAATTCTGGAAGGAGTTCGTTTCCTCTCTAGCCCAGGTGCATTCTAAAAAAGGTCTCCGATTCCAAAGTAAACTGAAATACAGTCATATATAAAGTTATCATGTCCAGTTGGCAAAGGATTAAAGTTCTTTTTTGGGTTTCCATTCAGCAGAAATCAAGAGATTCGTTTTAAAAGATGCCTTCTCAGGAAGTGAAAGTCTCATTTAAAAAAAAAAATTACCTTTCTCTCCAATAATGTAAAAAACAAAAATCCTTTGAGATAATTTGCAGCTAAACAAGCAACTTGAGGTGAAAAGGAAAATCCAAATTCATTTTAAGAAACACCTCATATGCATTTTTCCATTTAAATTTGTATGTTGCAAACAAAAATGTATTATTTTTTGAAAAGCTGACAAAAGCAAGCATATACCCTCCTCAGCTTAACAGTCTTCCAAAGAGCACATCCAACTGCCATAAAACGCAAAAATGGATATTTAATTCAAGAGCTATATAACGTCTAGCTACCTTTTCCCTGCTGTTTCACAGCATTTCATTATTTTGTTTAATAAGTTCATCTCCTCGAGAATTTTCTCTTCACCTCATATTATTAAAAGTAATAAGTTTTTCTGGACCGGGGGTTTCCCAACAGAAAAACCAATTTATGTGTGTCCTTCAATAATGACAGGAAAAGATTATTTCCCATTATATTGCATACTTTTCATATCACCACCACAGCTTATCATTCAATAAATGTTACTCTGCAATTCTTTCCATTCCTCAAGGAAGTTTAATTTCTGCATTAACCTGTTTTCGCCGGCCAACGCCTTACCAGAAAGCCTCTGCGTTGCAGCAGAATTAGTTCGTTAAAGAACCCATTTAGGAATCTCTTGTCAGTGATAAAATTGTCCTCGGTTAATAAAAGGACATAAAGTGAGTTTACATCTTGATCACACATACCGACTCCCACACTCTCACTCACTTTCTGTTAGTCGCACAGTTTTTCCTCCACGAACGTATTCTTTTGTAATAAAAGGTAAATTAAACATTTATCTTAATAAAGGTAACTTGCTCACACCATCTGCGTGTAAAGACGGTTATCGTGGCTGTAACTAAGATTATAAATAACATTATCTTCACTCTGAAGAAAGATGTGCTGGCGATAACGTACCTTGTTTCCAGTTTTCCAGAAGAAGTCTCTAATGGCCCGTAGCATTACTATAGCTACTGGGAAGGTGGCATTCACTGATTCTTTTCCAGTAGAGGTCTTAATAAAATCTGATCCTGAAACAAAAGGAAGAAAAACTCCATGTTAATGAAAAAACCTATTTTTCATACTTTTGAGTTGGCAGAAGAAATTAGTTGTGTAATAATTTTTTTTCCTGAGGAACACAACTTCATTTTTTCATTAATTATTGGAAAAATACAACTGACTCGTTCTTAAAATCATTCTGTCCATACTTTTTTCCCCTCTTACTGTAAGATGAATTAAATTAGGCACCAAATGGATTCTCACTGACCTCTGGGGCTCCTGCCTCCGTATTTCTGTATCACCAATTAAAATCAAGTTGGTTTATTTAATGCGTAGCTGAGATTAATAGAAACAATCGTATGCCCTGTGCTTAATATCATATACCGTAACACTTTAAGGCAAAACTAGAGCGCCAAGTCATTTTCCCCTCCTTTTCTTATGTGTGACGGAAAGTACACAGTACAGCTGTGTCCACACAAGGAGAATCACCATTAGCTGATATCTACTGCATTGTTTGGTAATGAAAGCTCCATCTTCCAACCAGATCGGGATTTTTATGAAAGACACCATACATTTTCAACTTGCAAATATTTTATTTATTTTTATTTTTATTTTGTGTGTGTGCGAAAGCCAGTTTTACGGAAGTACAGTCAATTACAATGTGTCAGTTTCTGGTGTACAGCACAATCTCCCAGTCATGCATATACATACATATATTTGTTTTCATATATTTTTTCCATGAAAGGTTATTACAAGATATTGAACATAGTTCCCTGTGCTATACAAAATAAACTTCAGAAAAATCTATTTTTATATATACCAGCTAACATTTGTAAATCTCAAACTCCCAAATTCATTTCCTCCCACCCCCTTTCCCTGGTAACCGTAAGATTGTTCACTATGTCTGCGAGTCTGTTCCTGTTTTGTAGATGAGTTCATAGTGTCCTTTTTTTTTTAGATTCACATATGAGTGATATCATATGGTATTTTTCTTTCTCTTTCTGGCTTAATGAGAATAACATTACTAACAACTTACCTCAGTATATAGTCCATTTGTTACAATTAATAAACCAGTATTGAAATATTACTTTTAACTAAAATCTACACTTTATTTAGATTTCCTTAGTTTTACTCAGAATCCAACTTCAACCAGGATACTATAATACATTTGTCATATTTCCATAGGCTCCTCTTGGCTGTGACAAGTTTCTTAAACTTTCCTTATTTTGATGACCTTGACAACTGTAAAGTGTACTGGCCAGGTATTTAGTAAAATTTCCCCCAGTTGGAATTTGTCTAATGTTCTTCTCATCATTACATACATGTTTTTGGGAAAGAAGACCATTGAGGCAAAGTGCCATTTTCACCACATCCATATCAAGGGTGCATACCATCAATATGACTTACCATTAAAGTTGACCTTGAGCATGGGTGGAGGTGGTGTCTGCCAAATCACCCCTTTCTCCCTATTTTCCATACTGTACTCTTTGGAAAGAAGTCCTTATGTGTATCCCACATTTAACGAATGGGGAGATGCAACCTACCCTTCAGGGAGGAGTAAACATACTTGTTATTTGGACTTATTGACATGAGAGATTTTTTGAGAGATTTTTCTCTTCTCCATTTATTTATTTATAATAATTTATTTATATCAGTATAGACTCAAAGATATATATATATATTCCACTTTCACATTCTTTGATTAGCATCACTAAATCACCCAAGATCTCATACAGGATACACAAAATAGTAAAAGTGGAAATCACAGATACTCAGGTTGAAGCTGAAATGGAGACACCCAGCTTTTCACCCATACTTTCTTCTCCTACTTTCCTCCTGTGGGACTACAATGTGCATTTGCCATTAAGAATATTCAATTCTGCTTTGTAGTAAACCAGAAAACAAGATGGGATGAATGAAATTCACAAGAAATATTAAGTAGAGATAATGAGCAAGCAATTGGTTTTGGAGACATAGGTAAAATTCATGTGTTAAGAACAGATAGAAAAGTCCACTGTAATTCTTTCCTTTTTCCTTTCTCTGGATTTTTCTATTTGTCTTTGGTTTTCTTCAGTTTGAATATTATATATCTAGGTTTGTGTCTTTTTCGTTTGTTCATTTTCCAGTATTTATTGTGCTAAGTGTTCTCTGAGCTTCCTGGACCTGCAGTTTGGTGTCTGTCATTAATTATGAAAAATTCTTGGCCATTATTACTTCAGATATGTTGTCTGCTCAATTTTCTCTTCCTTTCTTCATGTATTCCAATTGCACATGTATTACACCTTTTGAAATTATTTCACAGTTTCTGGATATTATATTCTGTTTTTTTTCATTCTTTCTTCTCTTTAAATTTCAGCTTTGGAGGTTTCTTTTGACCTATCTTCATGGTCACAGATTCTTTCCACAGCCCTATCTGATCTACTGATAAGGTACTCTTCATTTCTATTTCAGTGTTTTTGATTTCTGGCATTTCCTTTTGAATATTTCTTAAGATTTCCATCTCTCTGTATATGTTACCTATTGCTCCTTCATGCTGTCTACCTTTTCTATTAAAATCATTAACATATTAGTCAGAATTACCTTAAATTTCTCTTTTTTAGAAATTCTAACATACTTGTCACACCTGACTCTGGTTCTGATGTTTGTCTGCCTGTACACTGCATTTTCCCTGCCTTTTAGTATCTCTTGTAATTTTCTCTTGAATGTCAGCTGTGACATATCAGGCAATAGGAACTGAGGTAAATAGGACTTTGCTGAGATTTTACATTAACCTGGCTAGACACTGCGCTGTGCTTAATGCTGGTTGTAGCCATAGGTATCAGAGTCTTCGAATCCTATAATATCCTTGTTTTTGTCTCCCATGTTTACTTCAGGCTTCCTAAGTCTTTCTCCTCAGGGAGAGTCTCTGTCTTTTAGCTCGTCAGCTGTAATCCACTGGATTACTGGACCCCTGCTGGTGTGATGATAATGCGTGGGGAGAGGAGGTACTTCAACAATCTTACTATTAAATTTCAGTCTTTAAGTGGGTCCGTGTCCCTGGGCTGTAACCGTCACAGGTGTGTTCTGGCTTTTCTTCCTCACTCTGCGGAGGCAGAAGACTAGCGTGAAATGCCCTCCCAGGTGGGATAAGGCTCTAACAAAGTCCTCTGCCCTGGAAGGTGGGCCTTCATTAAGGAAAACGCTCTGGGCATATTTCACAATGATTATCTTCCTCTTCCCCTTCCCGAGCCAACGGGATCTTTTTTGGCTCTTCACTGTGAGAACCTGGGGTTCCTGGAGATAAAACCCACATAAGTGTGGGGGTCACACACAGCCTCCAACACTTGTTCAAAATTACCATTTAAGTGTTCCTACCAGCTTATGGCTCTAGCAGGTAAGCAGATCTTCACTGCGACTCTCAGGACATGCCTGTCTCTACAGATTTCAAGGTGGTAGTTTGCTTTGTGACCTAAGTTCTTTGATGGGTCCAAGAAAAGACCCTGATTTTCAGTATGAATTATTCAGCTTTTTCTTGCTCTAAGTACAGATATGACAGCTTCCAAGCTCATCATATGTCAAAGCACCAGAAGTCCTTAAATTTAAAGGCAAGGCTTTATTGTCTAGAAATCATGTATGGAGATATAAATTATACACAGTATGTAAGGTAGTTATGGATCTAGGCCAAGTAAGTATTATCGCCAGCAAGAACTGGAAAGGCTCAGAGAGATTTAGTTGAGCTGAAACAGGGGAAGGCTTCATCGAACAGGTGGAATTTGGGAGAGACCCTGAAGAAGAGATAAAATGGAAAGATGAGAGGGCACGTAGATGAACACCACCATTAGGAAAAAACACCAAAAGCACAGCAAGTGTAAGACACATCCCAACAGTAGTAAATGGACCCATCTCTGTGAAGGAGAGGGAGCACAGGGGTAGGGAGTGGTGATATTCAGGGTGTATGTTTCAGTGTGTGTTTTAGGACCTGTGACTGCAAAAATCCTTTAGGACATAGGAGGCCTGATCACCTGAAATCAGTGCTTACAATGCTAAATTTGGTGTGTTGGATAGGTGGAGGGGAAACAACTGAGAGTCAGAGACCACATGAGAGACTCAAAGAGCAGGCAGGTGGACACCACTGGCTACTTCTTGAAATCCAGGAATGAGGCCTCGCTTTAATTACACACAGGACTTTTGAAAGTACACCAGTATTTTACAACTGGCAAAAGAACAATGGATTTTCCAGTGGGACTAAGTAGGCACACACTTTGTTTTACTTATTTTAATATTGCTCCCCTTGCCCTTCTGCTAAAACAAAATTACCTTAGAGAAATAAATGCTAGACTTTGAATTAGGAACACCACAGAGCACCACAGAGTCTCCTCAGAGCTCATGTGAAACCGACATTAACCAAGCTCACCTCTGCTCAGCTTGGGGGAAAAAACCTTATGTGACAATATCACACAATTAAAACAGCTATCCATATAAATATTCTTTCATCGGTGCCCACAATTTCAACGAAATAACTAAACTAGGAGATGAAAGGCCAGAAAAGTCAAAAGTAGCACATGAAATAGACTAGTATTCAAATGTGATTAGTTGAAATTAAAATGAGTAATAAATTTATAGTATTATATTAAGTTGTATTTTTTTTTTATTTTCCTAATTTGAAATCTCTAGCACAAGACTTTTTCTGTGGTCTAAAGCAACTCAAAGCTTTTCTAAGGCCTATAATTACAAGTCTCCATGGTACAGTTTCATTAAAAACTTTCATTAAACAACAGCTGCCCTTGTATATGGTCTTCTAATCAATTTGGTCAAACAGAATGACTTCTAATCAGCTGTTGATAAAAATAGAAGATGAAATTTTAATTCTAATAGATTAACCACAAACTCAAGACAGTCTTCAAAATCCATCTAGTTCTATTCTCCAGTGGATTTAATGACTATTCAGCAACTCATTACTAAATAGAACAAGATGAACATTTTCCAGTTCATTAAAGAAATGTACTATGTATTTTTGCATTGTCCTCATGATTCGTTACAGGGAGTCTTAATT